ACGCACCAATGTCTGCATATTGAGTATTAACTCAACTGACATGAGTGTTAAGGCACCTCAAAAATCGACCTCAGGTCAGGAACGTTCGAATGGCATGAAAATATCAGGATATGTTGGGGCTGGTGTGAGAAGGCTATGGTAAAATTGTCAACCCTATATCATGACGTTTGAGGGAGATATTGGTCAAACAGGGTTCAAATAGGAGCTAATTTCGTCTCCAAAAATTCTGTGTAGTCTTCAGTCTATACACTTAACATATTTTGTTTGTTTGAAAGAGCATGTCAGAATGTAGTGCTTATGAGAGTACTTCTTTTTAAACTCTTACTTTTTAAGGGAAAGAAGAAATCGAAAGTTCAATGACTCAAAAAACTCTCTAGAAATGATGCTCTAATTATATAAATGTTTGTATATATAATAAAAGCAAAGCTTAATAAAAAAAAGACTGATTCTCATAGGCACTGCAGTTTTACACGCTCTTTTAAACAAAAAAAAATATTTGATTTTATACCACATTGTGGTCGAATGCCGCTGAAGACGAGATCGAACATCTATAAAACGAGAAAAACGAAAAAAGTTTTTTTGCGTTTTTTCACAAACAGCTTATTTCCAGAGTAGAAGATGACGAAAACTTTCAAAAACTTTTGGAAAAAAGAGGTGCCGAGTAAAAATTTTTGTCGTGTATGAGAAATCAGATCACGGACTATATTTTCCCGCATGTATCTTAATTTCGATTATTTTGACGAAATGTGACTTTTTTGAAGGAGTCTTAAGAGAATAAATACAGAAACAGAAAAAAGAACTAAGAAGAGAAAAAAACAAGAGAAGAGTGAATGGAAAAGGAAATATGCAAAAAAAAAACACATCGAAAAAAAAGTGAAGCAAAAGAAGAGCGAGAAGAGAAGAGAAAACGAACGAGGATGTACATCTGTGTTTCAAGGTCATAAAAAAAAGAAAGGAAGACGAGGAGGTATAGAAATATTGCATGTAGTATTCTTTGTATACCATTAGTTTATTTCGATGCATGCTTTTCTTTTATTTGTTTTACCCGATTACCATGAAAAAGCTGGCCAAGGTGATCCTTCTCTCTTTTATGAAAATCATCCCAAATAAGAAAATCATGATAGAAGAGTGAACGACCAAGGTTGGTTGTGTGCATACTTTTTAATCTTCGTTGAATGTAGTGTTTAACGTATAGTTCTAATGAATCTTACTTAGTCATAGAGTGTGGGTGTTAGTGTGTAAATGAGGAAAACACCCACGTAGACACCAATACCCACATCCTCGCTTTTACATAAAACTCAGTGCATATAATCAAAGAGAGCTATTCTTCTCATAAGATTTTTGCTCTTCGCTAGATACCACTAGTTCTAATCGAAGTCAAACATGAAATAGTGTATAAATAACATAAATACATGAGATTTTAATCAAATTTATGTATGAAATAGTAGAAATGTAGAAATAACGTTTTGGTTAATGAAGAAATTTTGTGTTAATGGGAATTTTCGATCTTAATTTATTTGACGATCATTTTCAACCTTATACCACGAGAGTTTAAAAAACAGACGTTACAAAAGAAAAAATATATATTCAAGCACAAAACAAGAAAGGAAACGAAAATATATTTTCATATGACAATAACTTGCACATCATTAACATTGAACATCATAAACGATGGAAACATGTAAATCGATGTGAAATATTTCATCAATAATGAGATTATCATTAATTAAAATTGTAATAATTCACAAATTGGATTTACTCACTATAAATATCTAGGGTGTGGATGGGTGTGGGGGTGGACGTGAGTCTTCTCTTTTCCACGCCCATCCACACCCACACATCCACACCCACACCCTCTCATTTATGGCAACATGCCATTCGCAAAAAACAGATGGAGTTAACTATGTCTTTTATAAAACAAAATGGCGTCAGATGCAAATATTTGATACAAACGATATTTTCTAGTATTGACTATATATAGAATTTATCTTAATCAGTAAAATCACATTGGATGGCAATCGAGCCAGCATGACAAATAGACTTTAGATGTTCTGTATGGTGCAGTCATTATATTGCAAAAAAAAATTTTAAGCGTATTATCATTTGATTGATTCGTTTCGAAAATACTAAGAGAAAAAACTATACGAGGATAAGATGTTTTTTAGATGAAACTTTTGGAGATACTCGCAATTTTTCTTTCATATCGAGCCAAAGATTATTTAGAGAAGGATAAAACTTTGAATTTAAAGGTTTTTTTTGTTATATGCTCCCTCATTTTGAACAATAAAAAAAAATAAGTCAAATCTTCCACTATGACATGAATTCTTGTGTAAATCATAGAGATTGATATTTCCATTGTTTAGACGTTTGGTGAAAGTATTTGTATGAACTCGTATTGCCAGTAATTATCTTTTTGTATCGGTAGATATATTACTAAATAAATATTTTTAAAAAAAGCGTGAATAAGTGATACATCATTAAAGTACATATCTGTTTCTCACCTTTGATGATGCTAATAAATATTTAATATTTTTTACTTCAATGATTAGATCTATTCTTTTACAAGATGCTTTTTTTTTAATACGATGAAGGGCAGACATAGATGATGATGAGGCTAAATGACTCGACGAATGTGCAGTAGATTTTGAAAGCATATCTTTTCTATTTGTTTTCCTGCGATACTTTTAAACAAGTAGATCGAATGTAAATTGCTCTCATTCATCTAAATTTGATACTAGACGTACTTCAATCGTATAGGAGTGTAGATGACATATATTGTGCATAGATATCAATGCTCGACGTGTTGTTGGATACAGGAGCTGGTTCATGAGAAACTTTGGTTCTTCTGAAACCAATTAGTTACTTTGTAAGTTCTCAAAGGCCTGACAATCATAGTTTCGACGAAGAGTTCAGCTTTTCTTTCTTAGTTAATCCTTCACTATCTTGAGAGTTATCATGAAAAGATATAACTTTAATATAATATCATTATGATTATGTTTGTGTTCGAGTTTTAATGATAGATCATATTATTTGGCTTCGATTAGCAAATTCAACATTTGTACGATCGACTTATTCAACAGCGTTAAACTTTGACAGTAACGTATATTGCTTACTAACTGGTTGCTCTATGAGACCTTACTATTCCAATGAAATGGTCCAACTGAATATGTCAATCACTGGAAGATATACGATAATGAGAAGAGAGATAATAATTCTATATGGTTATATCTATATCAACAGTTTTGATCCATCCAATCCGTTTTCGAATTTACTTACACCAGATAATGATTTCTTGAATGGATCATTATTACCATTCAATACGTTACTTAACACTCAGACAAAATACACTTTGGTTGTAACAGGGCGAGATGCATATACGTCAGGATTATTTATTATTGCTGCAAAAGGTCCAGGACCTGTTGCTTTTATCTATGATTGTTAACGATGGTGCAAAAGCTCAAGAATAAAATTTTTTTTCTGAATTTTTCATTTGTTTAATTAATTATCAGTTTTGTTGTATTAGAATTTGCTTTTCAGGATCTTTTTCTTGCAAGAATTTTGGGCACTCCTGGCATCCTAGAATTTGCTTTTCATGTTTATCTATTTCTTTGTCTTCGAGTTTTGCGTGTGGATGTGGGTGTAGGTAGGATGGGTGTGAGTGCGAATATGGGAAGGATGTAAGTGTGAACGTGGTGACTGTCGATGCGCATGTTTGGAGAATCCACGCAATGGCACCCATACCCAAACATTATGACAGACCCAGAGTGACAACAACCAGTATTCATAGTACTGACAATGAAGAATTCCAGAACATAAATGAGAGATACAGAGAAAATAGAAAGTTCTATAATGTACACGAAACACTGGACAATGGATAGTCACATGGACAGACACGCGATCGTTTATATGATACATAGAATGATAGATTTTTTCATGCGCTATCAAAGGTTTTATTTCTTAAACATAATTTATTTCTTTGAGAGTGATAAGTAAAAAATAAAAAAACAAAAAAGCGAAAAAACGCAGATTTTTGGTACTTGCCGATTGGGAATATTTTCAGTGTACTCAAATTTCCTTTTCAATAAATGAATATAAGAAAAGAAATATACAGGTTGGTGGAGAATTTCACGCTCTATCACAATCTATAATTGCTTTTTCAAAAAGGTTAGTTCTATAGTGATGAAAAATTTTAAAAACTATTTTTGATGACAGTCAAAAAACGTGATGTCTGTAGGAATATGGGCATGAAGGTGTCTTCAATGTACTCAAATTTTTTTGGTAATGAATAGCTATAACCTGAAACCTAATTATATAGCGTTATAGATAACTTCATGGGCTTTCAGAATATATAATTGATTTTAAAAAATATATTATTATAATGACAATAAATTTGAAATACAGGTGCAAACTATGCTTTCCAGGAGAATATAATCGACATGGACAATCTTATGTTTCTCCAATACAATAGAGGAAAGAACCATTTCTCCTTTCCTTCCCCTCCCTATCTCTTCTCTCTCTCGTTCTGGTTTATTGTAAAGCGAAAACATTAGATTGTTCGGAGCGACTAAAAGAGATCACTCGATGAACTTCCATGAACACGAACAACAGTATCTTTTGCTCGTAGAATACGTCATGCAACTCATTGATTGCCAATAATTGCTTTGATTCCAAGCAGCCTTTTGTACCTTGGAAAAAAATCAGGAGATTAAGTAGATAAGATTATATCACTCGAAAATATTCGATAAGGCCAGATCTCTTTCACCATTGTTTTCCATCCGAGAGAGAGATCAACTAATTAAATCAAAAGGACTCATATTTAAATGTTTTGTGTTATCTAAATACTTTTATTTAAAAAAACTGTTTGACAGAACAGAACTTTTCACACATACAATAATATTGACTTTTTTCTAGCGAGTGTTTTCTCAGAAAAATAATTTCTTTTTTTGGAAAAAACTTTCATCTCTGAATAACGACATGAATTTATTTTATTTAAATAGTAATTAATGTATTATTGCACAAGGAAAATAATCTCGTAAAGAATTGGAATAAATTTTTTCTCCAACTAAAAAAATTTCATTTACTTTAGCACAATTAATTCGTGTAATATCTCTTGTAAAATTATGTGTTACTCTTTCTAATGATTTATAATTGATATAAAGAACAATATTATTATGAAAATATGTTTTTTGTATTAAATAAAAATTCTTCTATATAATCATCATGAACTGTTTCAATATCAAGTGTAATAAGATAATTATATTTAACTATTGTTGAATTATAATTATCATTTATTGATTTATAAGATTGTTTATTTTTTTGTGATTGATGATTAATTAAAGATAGCTTTTCCATAAATGGAAATAATTGAGAAATTTTAATAAAAATTCATGTTCGAAAGGGTATTCATCATATAATGATATAAAACGAATATATTGATATAATCCACCTGGAAAATTATTTGTTATCTTTTGATAATATAGCATTTCAGATGGATATGAAAAAACATGACATTGATCCATTCTTTTTTCTAGAAAATAATCAACATAAGATATTATTTTCGTATATTGAAAATCTCTAAATGTCTCTTCAATATCTTTTTGTGATGGTAAATTCATTTGATTATTAATAAACATAAGTGAATGAATATCAAATGTAAATACATTTAATTATGGTAGATGATGGATAATATTTTTCTTTAAATAATTTCCATCAATAAATTTATCATTAAGGTAAAGCGTAAGATATAAACCAAGTTTTTCCACATTTGACATTCGATAAATAAGTGGCAGCAGTGATTCTTTATAACGTGATATTTCCGAAGCACATAATAGAACAAAACACTTTAGATTTGGAATTTTTTCCTAGAAAAATAAAAATAGAAATCTACTTTTGGTTTTAAAACTGACTTTATTTTCAATTAGATCTGTTGATACAACATTGTTAATCTAATCAACAATGAGTGTATGAAGTTGACTGAAGCGACCATCAAGAATATAAAGTAACTGTGAGAAATGTTGAACCTTGACATTGAATAACAAAAGACTTGAAGAAGAAAAACTTCAAGATGGAAAATCAAATAATAATGGAACATAATTTTTATATGATGATTCAGAAAACATTAAATGTATTAATTTGTTACATATAAAAAAAATACAACTGCACATTTTTACTATTGTAAACCAATAATTTTTATCTCTTTGAGTTGTTATAATGAGTTTTGTTATTTGTTTTTTAAAAATACCATTTGAAAAACTTTGATCTGAGCATACAAAAATATACATAGACATGATGAACTATAGGATATTCCAATTTGTTTTGTGTGTATTATCAGTTAAAAAATCTAACTATATTCAGATAAAATTATCATCTTCATTGATATACTGTTATATTTTAAATATTAGTTGTTGATCACTATCTTCTATGGAATTATTCAGTCTCACAAATTATATACTTTTTTTTAAGGGACTGAATAATTTCATATAAGACAGCAATCAGCAGTTATTTCAATTTTACTATTTTACAGATCAAGGTAATCATCTAGCCCAAATGTGGTTCGATTCTTTAACTGATAATACAGATAAGCAATTCGAGATATCTTATGGTTGATCAGGCTCACATATATCAAAGATAAATACAAATAGTCAATAGATGAAGGTAATTTTTGATAGAAACACATTGTTTTTCGAAATAATCTCTCACTCTGTACTTTGTTTTGTTTTTTTTTCCTCTAAAGAAATTTCTTAAAAGTGTGAAATGTTATTTTTTTAAAATCTTGTTTTGTATTAATTAAGAATGTTTTCTGTTATATCGCTTTTTATATATGATTCTTTTATAAATTCATATTGAAATATAAATTAGAAAAGCACTTTCTTATATTTAACAATCTATTCAGGTGTATTAATAATTTCAAGACAATATTTATATTTATTTTAAGAAATTTTTTATTTTTGTTTAAAATTAAAAGAATTCTATTTTGATTTTCTTACCATTAAAAAGACGTCTAGCTGTCTTTTCTTTGATATTGTATAGACCAAGTCCATATAGACTAGGATAATCGGCAGCACGTAGAATATTTTCTGCAGATGATGATTCAAGATAAGGCCATTTGATTTTTATAGATATATCAGGTAAAATTTGTAAACAAAATCGATTAAGCATAACATTTGAAGAAAGTTTATTAAGAAATTTATTAGATGACCATTTGACAAAGTTTAAATCACTTGTGAATATTGAATCACGTATTATTTTATTCAGCCGTATATTTTTAACACCATGAAAAGAATTAAGTATATCGAAATTGTCCAGTTTTTTAAAAATAATCAAAAAAATTTCATCGGGTAAATCATTCAATTCAACACATGAACATGCCATATTTGCTTTCATTTATCTATTTGTTTCATCTGGGAAAAGTCAATATTTATATACGATGATCAAACACAATAGACAAATTAACACTGAACTATGAATATATGATTGGTGTTACTACTTGGAAGCACCAATCATATTTCTTAATTAATTTTATAAGTCATTCTTTCTTTCAGAATATATTCATTCATTCCATTTGACCGATATCATGAATAAGAAGAGCAATAAAGTATTTTTGAATACTTGAAATGCTCAACAATTTAATGAGTTTATACTTGGAAGAATATTTTTATTTATTGACTATGTCATAGGATAAAGATGAATAATTCTCTTATAAATCATAATAATTCATAAAGATATTTTATTTAGAAAAGAAA